GATTGTGCTTCCCACAGCCTGACATGTTTCTGTTCCTCTGTGTTCATGTAAGTTTTGTTGCCATGCAGCTTTGTTTTGAGTTTTGTAATAATAAATCCTTTTTTTTTTTTACCTTTGAGTCCCCCATGTCTGTCTGCACTCGGGGTTCTGAAAAATCCTCAAAGCATGATACTAAAATAACTTTTGTTGTAAATTGAGGCTTAAAAAAAATTGAACTGAAAAAAAAAATTGTCATGTTTTGAATTTGATACGAGGTAACTCTGTGACACATTAAATGTGTTCTTGTAAATTCTGTTTTAGTGCTGCTTCATACGTCCTTTGGAACCACAACACTCACTTCATTTCTGAAATGTTCCACTTCAACACTTGCTCTTGTCAAGCACGGACACCTTACCTTAATTTTTCACCACTTTTTATTGTCTGTCCAAACAGGTCTCACTTGTAAATGAGTCTTCGAGGCTCAACGTGACTTATCTGTTTAAATAAAGGTTGAATGACAGAAAGCTCCCATCTATGAGCCATGACTCTATCAGTATTTGTGAAAGGTCAGAGGCAGCATGAAGACAAACTCAGTCTTATTGTTCATTTTGAGGAAATGTTTTGTGTACGTGGCTGGAGAAAGACAACATGAAGTTTTTCCTTACTGTGTAGCATTCTGAAGTCATCTGTCAGGTGGGCATGCTCTTCATCAGGATCAGAAGCTAACATTTTTATTTTAGTCAGAAACTCCTTATAAAGTGGATCTATTTTGTTCAGCACACCTTCAACAAAGACCAATTCCTCCAGTGTGGACCTCCATAGAGTTTTCTTGTAACTGATCAGTTTGACCTTCTGTAAAAACCACAGCCACTTTCCTCACACCAGACCGAGGGCCCCTGAACAGCTGATTGGCTTGATGGATGGTGCGGCCCATAAAGGTGCATTGCCCAAATATGGCATTGATCTGATGGCAGTCTAGATCTGGTCCTGGCCTGTCTGTTGCTGTAGACTTACCACCACCATGCTCACATGGCTGTAGAGGACCACATCGACCCGGGTGGCCTCCCGGTTCATGGTCACCTGGTCAACAAGCATGTTCACAAAGTCCTTCATCACATCAACATTTTCTGACCCTTTGCTCCTTAGAAAAGGCTAAACGGTTGCACAAAAATCCTAAATTATCTAATATAAAAACATGCATTTGTTTAAAATATTTGTGTTCTGAGTTGGTTTACACTACAATGGAATGGAATACAGTTTGCAATAAGCCAGTAATCAATCAACCTTTATTTAGACAGGTAAATCCCATTGAGCCTCGAGGACTCATTTACAAGAGAGACCTGATTTCAACAAAGAAAGATGACAACAATGGACAATAGCAAACACAATAAACAATTATAAAAAGTCATAATACAGTTTTTTTTTTTTTTTTTTACAAATAGGATGGCTAAAAGGAAA